CCCCAAAACCCCAAAACCCCAAAACCCCTTTTGCAGATATTATTTGAATAATCTTTTTAGTTACTTATTCTTTAAATTCATAAGCCATTTGAGCCTCTCTTCTTTAGGATCAAGTGGTTCCAATTTTCAGTTTCCAAGTCTGATTCTAGTGTTATGTGAAGGAGGGGTTGGATCTTGGTACTTTCACCTTCAAGTTCATCTTGGTTTGAAAGTTCTTGCTCTTAAATATCTTCATCCACTAAATTATAAAGATAGAATTCTTGCTAATTTCTTCTTGGAAAAGTTGAGGACCTCTTGATAATTCATTAGGGTCAGGATTTTCATGATCAACTTTGTCACCGACTCTTCTCTTATAACCAGCCATTCTCTGCTCAGCTTGATTTTAAACTGATTGGCCTCTCATTTCGAGATCTTGCTTGATCCTTTCTATTTCAAACTCTTTGATATCGTCCTCTTCTTCAGGATGGTATCTATTACTATATAAAAGCCATGTTACTTGGCTCAGATCTCAATTAGTTTAGCCAGTCTGGCAGTAAGGAAATTGTTAACTTTTATGATGGAAGTCTCGTATTTCTTATTGGGCATTCCCCAATCGATTTCTAAATGCTCCAGTTCTTTAAGTTGTTTTATTGAATGCTGGATTTTAGAAATCTACAGTTTATAAGATATCTTGCACAAGTGATGTCAGACATCTCTTATTCCTCAATCATACCTGATAGAATTTTTGAGCAGCTGTTTGTGTAATTGAATGATTTGAAATCCTACTTTTGAGACAGGAATCTTACAATGTTTTGGATTGTGAGAATCAACAGGTTCTCAAGTTTTTAGTTATCTTTGAGCATCATATCAGTATTCCTGGAATCTTTTGGCTTAAAAACCTTTTGAAAATAACTTTAGTCATGTTGATATCCATCTATGTTTCTTCTTGTTTTATTAAAATTTAAATAGTTTCCTTACAAATAAATAAAGTGTCTGAATGACCTCATGTATTTTATCAATTCTTACAGGCTCCAAAGAAGTTATTTTTTCAAAAATTTCAAGTTAATTTTCTTTATCTCCAGTTCCTAACTATCCATCCTTGTTGAGCCAATTCATATGAAGGGTGTTATGATGATGGATAGTTCCGATATATTTAGTCCCATGGAGAGGTCTGAGAACCTTGGCAATTGTGCTATGTATTTAACATTCTTATTTCTAATGCTTTATTAATACAATTCTCCAAGCTTATTGATGTAGAGGGTGACATCCTCTCTTGACTTAAGATATTTAATACTATTTCCATTTTATTGGTTTTGGTAAAGAATGTATGAAGAATTTATGATTTCTTCTTCTCCTCCCCAAATATCAAATCTAATTTTAGATGATTCAGTCACAAATATAGAACTCCATACACCATATACTCCTTGTGTAATAAGATCAAGTGTTTTATTCTTACTTCAAGCTTGTTCTGCAGGAATCAAAAACTCCAGGATTTTCTCTTCTTCATCATTCGTGATGGTATCTTGTGATGGACGAGGTACTATTTCTTCCTTGATCTCCTCATCATTAGAATCCATGAGCATCAGGCAGACTTTGGTTAGGGTTGGAAGTTGTTAAAAGATTGAGGGTCACATCCTAATCGTCCCCTAATGTTCCTTCCCCAAATAAAAACATTTCATATTTTAGACACAGCCATGCTATGGGCAGCCTGCATGATATTCTGTTGATAAATATCCTTAAAGATACTTTATTCTTTTTGGAATGTTTTGTTTGGCTCCCTTTCCAGTGCTGAGTTGTCCTCAGTCATTATCTCCCAATGAGAAACATGGTCTTTGTTGTTAAGGACCATGAAATGACTAGAACCAGCTGCTATGCTAACTATCTTTAAATGGGCCAATTCTCTCTTGAAAATTACTTGAGGCTTGTATGTTTCCATGTTTGTTTTGGAATAATGATTATCTCCTTAATGAAAAAAATATTTCTTGATCCTCAGCAAACTTTATTGATTCTCACTCCAGCTAGTTCTCTTATCTTTGTTGGGAAGCAAATTAGGATTCAATGTTCTCTAAGTCAGAGAGTTTTAATTCTTTACCCAAAAATAGGCATTCGAAATATCTTGACAATCAATCGAAATATTGCTAGCCAGTCTCAGCTATTTTATTAACAAATCATTTTCTTTTTATAAAATTGAGATAGGGGTTTTGGGGTTTTGGGGTTTTGGGG